GGTCCTTTCTGCTTTAACATACACCTCGGGGACTTGGATTCTGCGGAAACATGAGCAAGAACTCGGTGTCATTCACGGGGCAGTGTAAAGGACAATGCTCGAAATTTTCTTGCATACGCAAGTGCAGAGAGGAACTCACAATTCTGAATCTCCTCAAAGAACTTTGATCAGGAGCGCCTTTGCCTACGCCGAGAAATTGACGATCAGGCGGAACGGACCCATAGGATTTGCGCTTACCGTTGGACCTGTGTTGCCACTCTCACTTACTTGTCGTCAATATTTTACACAACAAAACACTAACATATTCACCTAGAAAGTGCATATAGTTGGATAGGGTGAGCAAACTTTCAGAAAATAAGTAAAATGAGAAATTCTTCTTTGCTAGTCAAAGGGAACCATAAATGGCGACTTCAGGTTAGTTAAAGGTACAGCTCACGATAAAAATGATTTTTGAGGTATCTCTTTGGACGACTTTATGACTCCCTCGTCTGCCAGAACGGAAATGACCTAGCTAGGATGTTATAGGAGCCTAAGGATCGCATCGGCTACACGCCACACCCAAAGATGGACGTGTTTTCATGACGTTGAAGAGTCTGCATATTCGCAAGGGGTACCCGTGCTAGAAATTAAAATAACTAGTCGGGATCCAGTGGCATAAGCGGAGGGCCGTTATGAACGGGTGCGCTTCGTTGCGCGCGTCCGTCAAATCTGGGTCACGCCGCAGCCGCCGCGTGCGACGCGTCAGCCCGCGACTTTTGACAAACGACGCAGTTGTCTGTGGGGCATACGATTTGCGCTTGGTCCACAGCAGTCAGCCAAAATAACACGGATAAATGCAAATCATTCGCTCCTCTGACACTTGGTGGTACTGTAATGTCATGTCAAGACCTCAGTTGGTGTGCGCCGCGTTCGGAGTGTGCGGGGTGACCTACTTTCGAAGGACGCGCGCAACGGACGTTCTCCGTTATGAACATTTTTGGCTCGATGTAGTCAGCCCTTTATGTCCCACTACTGAAAGCTCGTACAAATACCTTTCCGCCATGGTAGCTCGTACGTAAAATATCAGATTATAGGTTAGCTAAGCCTACATCTGATGGGTGTAGCGGGAACGGGGGTTCTTCTGTGATACAATACTCTTGCCTATATATATTTATTACTAATATAACATTATAAACAGAACAGGGGGGAACGGGTCAAGACGAGGAGGCCATACGGCCAGGGCGATGATCCACGGCTGCAGAGCAGAGTAAGTCGACCCGGCTGTCACGGACCAGCCTCTTTTATATTGGTCTTGTGCGACGTTGCATAGCAGATTGATGGCGGCAGCCATGATGAGTCGGCAGCGAAGCGAGGACTCGACAAAAACCTATTTCAAGAAGCCTTATTTTCCGCGAAGTAATCGGATTCTATCACTTTCTTGGCTATTGATGCACGATTCTCGCCAACTTTCCCGGTTTTCAACTTTAAAAAGTTGCCTCGAAGTTATCGTGGAGTGTGTCGCAGGATATTGATCCAACATTGCTACGATTCGAGACTGCCACAGTGTGGAAAAGAGGAAGAACTGGAATTTGAAGAAAGAAACGAAGAACAAGAGCCGGGCGAAGAAAAGTACAAGAGAAACTAGAAACACAGCACCAACCCTCAGTTTCATGGGATCATCGTGGCGTTCTAACCACCTGCTCGCATCGAATAACCCGCTCCGGCGTGAAGGCAGCGACGCAACCGCTTCCTTAAAAGCATTGCCTCATTTTGGTGTTTAGCTTTCTCTGTTACCTCTTTAGCATTCCATATTTCGTTAGAAAACCTTCCGCTAAAAATTTCCATGTACAGTTCGTTTGGTATGATTCTTATTTCGCGTTTGGTTCCATTTACGCTTCTTCGAGTTTTACTGTTGCGAATAACATCTTTATTCCCTACAATGGGCTGAGTTGGTAATCAGTTTGCGGTTTGTCTGTAGTTCGCAAATCTTCCCATATGTAGTAGTAGTTGTTATTTGGAATCTCCCATCAGATTTAGCGTGGAGAGGAAGATTAAAAGGTAATGATTGTAGCGAAGGCACTTAAATAGCTTAGGTTATACCATAGGTGTGTAGTACACCTCAGCGTTTCCTACAAATTGACTGGATCGATTTTTGCGACCAACAAGTTCAACTCAGCTCTTTTGCAACCGCTTTATTGATTGGTGAAGGTGACATTCTGTGGGTGAAATTCAAAACTGGGTCATCGACGGATTCTCACGGGGCACGCTCCAGCATCGCTCCTGATGTTATCGATCAAAACCCATTATTCTAAGCGACTTTCTGCCGGTCATTAGGCAGTGCTAGCTATGAACTAGAAGCATTATTAAGTGATTCTCCTGAAAATAGATAGTCTTTTTCGCTACCGACCTGTTATCGGGATTGAAGGTGAGTTTTCCGCCTCTTTCGGGAACCCGTCTTGTAATCGATCTGAAAATTTGGCGTGAATCAAAAATCTCAAAATTTACTTACTTGCTGACAGATTACGATTTCTCTCTTTTATCGAAGGTTCTAAGTGAATGAGTTCTAGATGTCGATCTATTGGATGAGCTGAGTTCGCCTCCAGGTACATAATTAGCCAAGAGAGTGAGAACAATATGTTTGTAGTTTAGTTGTATACTAGAATTGTATATCGAAATTCAAAGTTGTATACCAAAATTTCGTTGGAAACTTTGCAATTACATCGGAATATAGGGAACACGATTGAGATTCAGTAGCAAATGAATCCAAGGTTACTTGGAAGGTAATATATTGATCGAGAAACTGTGATTAAGAAAGTTAAAAAGAAAACTCGAAAAAAAA